GCAAGCACTCTACCACTTGAGCTATATCCCCAACCCTGAGTATTCTTAATAGTTATGTGCTGAAGGATTTAGCAAGGCGTGTTTGTTCAGATTTCTTCTGTGTCCTTGTGTCTTCATAGATAAGGGTTGTCCTTTCCTCTGGGCATAGGAAGGGCATCTCATATTTTGTGTAGCATTTCCTCAAACCCAATTATTATTCTCTACCACAGCTGAAAGCTTCTGCAGTAGCTTCTGTAAAATTTATGATTTATGATGCTCATATATCCTTAGTTGAAAAACTAATTAGGATTGAGCCTTGATTACATAGGAATGGATTCAAAATAAGTTCACATTAGAATTACTTTTGAAAAGTTCTAAAATGTTAATATTTATTTAGTGAGTATGCAGTCATTTTAAATAATTGCCTTTGCAAATGAAAATGTAAGGAATAATTTAGAAGTATTCAGATGTACATAATTATTGTATATTGGTTTTGAGAGTTTTGTTTTTTTAATAAAAATCACAAAAATTGCTTCTTTCACTTTTAATCAGCAGGTCTTTTTAATAAGATATGAAGAAAGCAGGTCATTAGGTAAAGTATAGAAAAATTTTGTCAGGTCACAAACATGTGTGTATGTATGTGGTATTTACCAAATAGGGTTGGGTAGTGTGACACTCCTGGAGAATTGTAGTAATGCCTCAGTACATATAAATGCTTGTGCTTTTATTTTCATAAGCTTACCTGATTTTCACACTACCTCATAAAGTATAAAGAACAGTCTTGGCTCCATCTTAGTGACAAGGAAACTTAGGTAAGGTGAGGTTGTTCAAGGTTACAGAGCTGGGAAATGGTAGTGATAAGACTTTTTGTTTTCCTTTGAGACATTACTTTTATGTTTTAAAATTTTACAAATCAGTTTTTCATTATAAAAGTAATATGAACAGATTTCAAATAATTTGGAAAGAGGAGGAGGAAAATTCACTAATTCTCTTCCCACACAACATGTCAGTATAAGTTGTGAATTTTCAGAGGGTAGAGACAAAATATCTAGATAAATAATTAGAAATGTCATTAGGAGTCCATAATCTGCTTATCTACAGCTATAGTTTCAGCTGAACAGTATGTTATGCTGAATCTTTGTGACTTTTGAGGCAAAGGTGAATCTTGAACCCTGAGGAAAGTAGGAACTTTCTCTGGATACGCTTAGCAAAGAATCCAGCATTCTCATATGCTCTCTGCTCCCTCCTTGCTCCCCTGATCCATAATAGTTCTCTCCCCAAATACACCCACATTCTCAAATCTTCATAAATAATAAAATTCAGACATGCTGACTATCCTATAGAGAATGTTAACCCACATGGCTAGCTTTTCCTACTTCATTTGTCTTTATTGCTAATAAGGTTCTCATAAGAAAAACTCTTTACAAAACTTTGCTTTAGCTATTCTGAACTTATTTTATTCATTCTTCCTTCTATATTGCATATTCT